TAATATTTTAAAAAAAAATTTAATGTAAATGTTATTAATTTCCATATATTTTTTAAACAACATTTTTTTCTTTAAATTTTTTTTTGTAATTTACATTCGCGTCTACTTCAACCACACCTTTAGTATGGTAGATTAGGGTAATATGAGCACCTTGGTAATATCAGCATACTTAAAGATTTCTTAGATGTAGGCAGTTAGAGTTGCGATGTATTTTTTTAATCGACATTATGTGGTGATAACAGGAGGCAGTACAATTAGCGTAAGTTTATATGGAGTAATTAGCGGGTATCATCTATTTAAATCGTTCAAAGGTTTGAGCTAATAAAATTAAAAAAATAACGAACTAATTTTTTTTTTTTTTTTTGCGGTAAACATAGTATTATTGTTTCAACGAAAAGTGGTTCAAAATTTTAATCATAAGTTTTATTAATAACGAATCATTATATTCCAAAAATTAGTTTTAATTGTGTGATTGGTGTTTTTTTTCACTTAATTTATGTTATTTTTTTGAGGTAACTTGAAGTGCTCATATTACCAAGTGGTCTGTGGCCGTATTCTCATCTTATCTCTGTTAAGCTTAACGGAGCATTTGTCAAAAAAGTTCTTTTTAACTACATTAATAAAAAAATTAATTAAAAAAAATAATTTTTTAAATAGAATTGTTTTATTTTAGTCTTAGTTTTATTTAACCAAATTTAAATAAGGTTTTTATCATTTCTTTACTTAGAAATGTTGTAATGAAATTTTTGACAAACGCTCCGTTAAGCTTAACGGAGAGATGAGAACGAGAGATACGGCTGATAACGGAGAGATGAGAACGAGAGATGAGAACGAGAGATGAGAACGAGAGATAAGAACGAGAGATGAGAACGAGAGATGAGAACGAGAGATGAGAACGAGAGATGAGGCTGCTGGGTAATAAGAGCACTTTTGCTATATTTTTAAAACCACTGTATTTTTAATAAAAAATTTCGGGTGCCCAAATATCTAAGTGGATCATGAGTAGGGATCCTTAATAATTGTTTATTCGCAAAAAAATTTGGAGCCAGCATAATTATTTTTAAATATAAAATATTCAAATTTTCGCATAAGGTGCTCATATTACCCAAATCTACCATATATTCATGAAAATTTTAAGTGCATTTAAACGGTTTTAAATTGTTTTATAATATCTATATAATGGTTTAAAAGCATTATGACATTAAAATTCCGACTTTGGTTTTTATACTTTTGTCCAGTCACTGGCCCACTGTGGAATGTAATAAAAAATTTGAATGAAAATTCTTCAAAGTTTTTATTCATTTTATACACAAAAAAAAAGTCGTAAATGTTACAAATCTTGCGGGGGGCCCCAGAATTTTAAGTTAAGCCACTACTTAAACATGCGTTTTTCTACAATAAAATAAAATATGCTTAAAATTTCAATTAAAAAAATTATAGTAAAAAAATAAGAGCAGTTATAAAACATCGGTATTAACATAAACTTGATCGGTATTTACATAAACTTCATCGGTATTTACGTAAACCTCATCGGTATAACATATGCATGCACAAAAGTTTTTTTTTTGTTTGTCTTGTTTTTCGGCCTCCAGAGATCGGAGATCTCTGGAGGCCGAAAAACAAGACAAACAAAACAAGAGTGCATAATAGTTGTTTTTTAAAAGTTCATTTCCATTTTTTTATATTTAATAATTTATATTTATACAGTAACTCTGGCTAATATAGTAATTAATGCGTCGGTAATTAAAAATTGAAAACCTTTTTTTTTGTATATTGTGTATGCTTTGCAAAAGTTTTACTTTTCTGTTTGCTTTACGCTTAACGCTTTACGATTTTACGATTTTTTTTTTACGCTTTACGATTACGATTTTACGCTTACGCTTCAAGATTTTACGCTTTAAAATAAACTATTCCACTTTAAAGCAAACAGAAAAGTACTACGCGCATGTGCGATCAATGTCAAACAATGAACACCTGCTTATCTCTTTTTGCATACTCAAAATATTTTTCCGCGTAGAAATTTCCAAAACAACCTGAATGGAAAATGGGCTTAACATTAAAGAAAATTATAAGTAGGAGAAAAAGAATTAACTCGAAGCCCACGGAGAGAGTTGAACTCTCGACCCCTAGTTTACAAGACTAGTGCTCTAACCACTGAGCTACGCGGGCATGTTGTAATTTACAATTTATATTTAATATAAAAATAAATTTGTATGATAAAAGTTTTAGCTGGTACAATTTCAAACAAAATATTTCACTTCAGAGAAGTAAAACACTTCAATTTTCAAACAATAACATTTGCATTTTTATATTAACATCAAAATAAAACACAAGTTACAAATATTTTAACATACTGTGATTTCAATAGTCTTCACAGAGACATTTCAATAGAATAATTAACCAAATGTTATTTTCAATCGACTGAGTTTTTAAGATAATAATGTATTAGTTATCGACTGTTTTTTGATCTAATAATAACTATTAAATAAATTTCGGTTTGTAATTAGTATATTTTTTAGTAATTTCTATCAGAGCCAATAAGAAGCTTATTTGAGAGCCAATAAGAAAATTTGAGAGTATTTGTTTCCAGGTTTCAATTGTCGCATATTTTGGTATTAATAATAATTGCGACAATTGAAACCTAGAAACAAATAAACCCTCAAATAATAATATTATTATTATTTTATTTTATTTGCCATTTAATATTATTTACATAAAGATTTATAATATTATACGTGCAGGATTTCTAGAAGATCGTAATGACCTAATCACGAAGCTCTTAACAAAATTCTATTTTCTTCTACCATAAAAACATCTATATACTATATAAAATAAATATATAACGAGAATATACAATCACTAAATATATAAATATGATACTTTACATACTTCAGAATTGAATTAAAATATAATAAATCAAAACGAGAAAAGCAACTGTGGCGCAGTGGTAGCACACTTGAGTCAAAGGATCCGTGGTTCAAACCCCACCTCTAGGAACATTTTGCGACATCGGTTAGGAAGGAGGCGTGAACTTCCAAATAAATGCTCATCCGCGGTGCTCTGTGATAAGACCGTAAGGACTTCTTTGGACACCTAAATTAAAAAAAAACAAAAAAAAACTGAAAATATATATTTATATTTTTAAACCTGCAATATTCTCCAGACAGGATCGCCGAGAGCTGTCACGCCGCCTGGGACAGCAATCCTAATTGGCGCCCTTATTTATCAATTTTTTCCTATGTTATATATGAAGGACTTTTTTTTTAGGTACCTACATTTCATTTGGCGCCTCTTGAATATCTGCCGTTTGGGACAAACTGTCTCTCGCGACCCCCCCCCCCCTCCTCCTCTCGGCGGCACTGTCTGCAGAGCACGTTATTTTTTTGACATAAGCGTAAACATATGTTTATATTTGTTCTAATTTATATTTTATGCTTGCTAAAAGTACCATGAAGAAAAAAGCAGAAGCAACATCTGAAGACCTGCGCTCAATTTTTCAAAACACTATGAGTGAGTTTTCTGCAGTTGTTTCTGAATTTGTTAGTTTTCGTCAAATTATCCCAAGTCTTCAGAAAAGGAAAAGGCTAAATGAGCCTTCGAACCCAAAATCACCAAATGAAGCTGCTGAAGTTCTGAACGACAAAGAATGTCATCGCTATGGAGACATTTTCTAGGGATCAGTTGCAGAACAGAATAACGTAGCATTGCTGTTTGGGCATATGCTAGTCATCAACAAGGCGAAATTGGCCAAAGTGTGTTTTGTTGATGGAACATTTAGGTATTTATACCTATGTATTTAACTTTTTCTGAAAAATATATGTTCTAGAAGAACATATATTTATCGGGGGCTATCCATTAATTACATCAATAAACTTTTGGCAATTACCCCTCCCCCATGTCAACAATTTGTTAAATATCCAGAGACACTTCTTTCCCCTATAAAATTACGTCAATTTTTGATAACCCTCCTCCTCTAAATAAAAACGCTGCGCTAAAAACGCAGCCAAATTTTTCTTTTTTGAGTAATGAAATTAAAAAAATAAAGCAACATAGTTGATGTCAACTTTATTTGACCTTCTCCCCTCACCCTTAGCAAAAATATTCAAAAAAATTTAGACACCCCCTCCTCTATTTTTTTGACGTTATGAATGGACAGCCCGTAGACGAAAAAATTGATATAATAAAAACGTTAGGTAGAACACTTTTGTTTACAGTTGTAAGTTATAGTTACATTTATTGTACTTCCAGCATGACACCACTCATCGAGGAAAGCAAGTGGTATCAGCTCTTGATATTTTCTGTTAAATATTCAGCAGTACTTGAAGATCCAATTCCAGATGAGGATCGGATAAATTTTGATCCTGATAACCCTCACCTTTGGGGAACATCTGTTCCAGCTGTATGCGCTTTAATGACATCAAAATCCGGGGCTCTATACAAGCTTGTTTTTATCCAAAATAAAAGAAGTTTTAGATTCCTCTTCAGTGACCATTATGTCAGATTTTGAACGAGGACTACAGAATGCTTTAAAAACAACTTGGAGTGAAAGCTTGGTGAATGGTTGCAGGTATAAGTTATTACTTTGTTATTATTTAGTTTCCAGTTTCTAAGTTATTCAAGTTTTTCAGAGTTTGTTATCAATTAATGATCTCCTTTAAACCCTTATCTTTAGGTTTCATTTCGAAAATGCAATCACTAAGCAATTAGCAATTCTTGGTCTTCAGAGGAAATACCGTCACCAAATTCAAGTAAAGAAGTGGACACGAAAAGTTTCAGCACTTTGTCTCCTTCCTGCAAATAAGATCTTGGTTGCTTGGGGATCTCGAGTTATAGAGATTGCACAATTTAGTTGCGAAATCAAAATCAAACTACTTGCTTTTAAAAGGTATTTTGAGAGGTATTGGCTCAATATAGTGACCCCAGAAGGATTTAGTGTTTATGGCTTGAACCATAAAACCAATAACAATGCAGAGAGTCTCAATAGACGTCTGAAATCAAACATGGCTGATCGACAAGAATATAGAGAATTTTGGCAGTTTATGAAATTGCTTAACCAGCATGTAATAGTCCATACAATTCAAGAGCTTCAACAGCTTGCCTGCAATCAGCCAGCCCGCCGTGACCAACGCGACTATGGTGCAATTGAAAAAATGCGTTGTTTTGACAAAAAACTTCAAGACGGAGTTTGGACAACTGAGAGATTCCTATTAACAGTATCATATCTCTTTCAAAACTTCAAAGTAGTGTAAGATAATTTTCTAAGTTTTTGTATAACACTTCTTATTTATTAACCTTTATGAATTTTTTTACCAAACTAATTAGTTTAACTTTATTTGATAATCTGTTACTTTCCATGAAGTATGGAAAATTGTATTTGAAGTTTTTAAATATTTTCAGTGCTTTGGATGAAAAATCAATGAACGAGGTTGGTGAGAGTCTTCCTTTGCCAACTTCCACTTCAACAGAGTCACCGAAGTGTTTGTACCGTCAACGAACGAAATGCATTAGTAGTGCCTTGCAGACATTTTTTGTTTTGTCAGCCTTGCATTCATTAAGTCCAAAAAAGCAACACAGCTCATTGTCCCACTTGCCGAGGACCAATATCACCCATATTTGAACCTTTTCAATGATTCAGTAAAATTTTCCCTTTTACCTATATTTTAAAAACTAGAACGTCACACAATTGTTTAAAATTATTAGAAAAAAATTTATTAATTAAAAGCGGTATTCATTTTTTTCCTATTGCTCCGCCTGGAATGAAAAATAATCAATAACGTAATTTTTTAGTTTACATAAATGACTTTAAATTTTAATTGGGCCTACAAGATTTTCCGTAAGTTGGCGTATTGTATTGGTTTTAGTTGAGCAAACCTCATATTACGTTAAGGATAAGTATTAAATAAATTCTCATCCATCTCCCTAGAAACAATAGCCATTTACATGTTAAAGTTATTGTATAGATAAATGTAGCATAAAATTCTACAGCTGCTTGTCTAGCAAAGTTAAATAAGTTTCCTTGAAGCAAGTGACAGTATCAACAAAAGACTTATAGTGAGGATTGCTATCTTACGATTAGCACTTTCGTGTGCAAAATTGTGTTAGAAGCAATTTTTTGCTTTTAACTATTTTTAACTAGGTTTTAACTTGTCTAGCTAGCTTTTAACTTATTTAACTAGGTTAAAACTAAGAAGAAGAAAACGAATGCTAAAACATTTTGGGCCGGGATCATAACTTGTTACTGTCAGCAAAAAAATATATAGAAATTAAACAAAAAACTATATAATTGGAAAGAGCTCGTCAAAAAGTGAAAACCATATGCTAAAAACATTTTCTTTCCAAGATATAACACCTTATAGATTATATAAAACACAGATCCAGATTTTACAGACCAGCACAAAACAGCTATAAAAAAGGTTTTTTCATCCTAAATTTTGTTTAAAGAGTTGCTATTGATATAAATTTTCTATTAAAAGCAAGTTTATATTAAATTTATAACGTCCTTACTGTTGGTAGGGGTGAGGAGGGGGAGGAGATAATCGTGAGCGATTGACATCCCTTTTTTGACCAAAAACAACATTGTTGTTGCAGATGATAAACAACATTATTTATAACTGCGTCACTTGGATTTGATTTACAATTTAAGCGGATAACAGATGACAGTTTGAAATTTATAAATGTAAATGAAACTCTGACAGTTTGAAAAAGCTCTTTTTTTTAACTTGAGTGGCTTTGTGTATTTTTACATTTTTACCTTATTGTCCTAAATGGGCAATTGGGCCAAGAACAAACAAAGTTCTGTAGAAGAAATTAGACCTAATATTTTTACGTATTTTCTTGTTATTTATAAATGTTAATGAATTTGTTCTCCCTGACCGTTTGAAAAAACTCTATTTCTTTATCTAAAGTTAATTTTTACAATTTTAACGAAGCTTATATAGCTTTTGATCCAATTGCCCCATATGGGTAAACGAGGAGTAGAATTCTTTTCTAGGGGCCCCTAATATGAGAATGATAATTTGTAGAATTGAATGATTTAGTAAAAAAGAAAACAATAAAAATAATTCAGCATAAGTATTTCAATGAAATTCCTTCTTGATAGCATATGAAAAGCAAGTTTATTATCAAAATTTTGTGCCATAAATCCTTAGGAAAAACTCAACAAATCTTGACGCGAAATAGGCGTTATTGAGCCCAACATAGATTATCATAACTTGGGAACCAGTTATCCAAATTTAAAAAATGAACACATTCTGAAAGCTTCTTCATTATCCGCATATTTTGGTATTAATTATAACAAGAGATAATTGTAATAGTAAAATCGTGTGAAGTGTTACTGTAAATAAAGTCAATACATCTTGTTTTGAATCGTGTTATAAATAGCCAACAACACAACATTCAATATTTTTTGTTCTACTAATAGAGCTTTTTGTTTATATTGTATAAATTATACAATTACACAGTATAATTACTACACTTTAACTAAAAACCGCGAAAAACCGCAAAAAACTGCAGTCTATTTATTCTGCTTTTGAATTTTCAAACCTATTATTAAAATTCACCTTTTCGATATTATTCTGGAAAGTTCTTTTTCGATTTTATTCCTTTTTTCACAGTTTCGATATAATTCCGGAAAGTCCCGTTTTGATATTGTTTTTACAATTTCGATCTAATTCCGTTTTTTGAAATTTCGATTCTATTCCTTTTTTCACACTGTCAATATTGTTCCGGTAAGTCTTTTTTCAATATTATTCTCTTTTGAGCTGTTTCGAGTTTATTCTGCTTTTAGGATTTTCGATACTATTCCTTTTTTAACAATTTTGAAATATTTTATTTTTCGATATTATTCCGAAAAGTCCCTTTTCGATATAATATTCCTTTTTTCACAATTTCGAGGTTATTCTATTTTTCAGATTTTCGATACAATTCCTTTTTTTATAATTTCGATGTTATTCTCTATTTCGATGTTATTCCGGAAATTCCCTTTTCGAGATTAATCAGTTTGGCTGTTTTCGATACTGTTACTGCTACCCCATAATGTTTTTACAAAACATCAAAAAACGGGCAATGACCTGGTGTGCACGACCCTGCTCTCAAAGATGCGATGCTTGTAGTTGTTCTTTTGCTTAGTTATAAGAGCCATCGATTCATAAACCCTTTATACCATTTGCGACCAAGCGTTCCATTTTTGATCATAGACTTTTCATCATTTTCAAATAAATATTTTTTCTTGTCTTTTTATTGTCTCCTTGGTGAAAGACTTGTCGTTTTTTTTTTTTTTTTTTTTTTTTTTTTGCCATTTTAGTTTAGTAAATTCAATTCAGTTACAGATTTATAAAGATTTTTGAAAATGAAGAAACGATTTTTTTTGTTACTTCGAGCACTTTTGCTTCAACAGTCTGCAAAAGTACAAAATTAATTAACACAAAAGTGTGAAAACTTAAAAAACCCAAATGAAAAAAATTCAGTCAGTGTGATAAAATAAATTAATTTTAACATAATAAAAAAAATTCAATTAGAGTGAAAGATTAACCTATGAAATTTTAATTGATTGTAGGGGAATTTACTGTGTCCAGTTTAAGATGAAAACTAATGAAAACTTTGTTTCCGTCATAACTTTTTGACTGAGTAAGATTTTGAAAATCTAAAACTATTTTTAGAATCAGCAGAAAATTTCCAACATAATAGCTGGCTTTGTTTTTAAATTGCCTTTTTAAATCTTTTAAGCTAAGAACCTAATTTCTAAAAAAAGTTTGATTTTTAGGGTTTAAGTTAGATTTTGTTTAAACTTAAATATCTTATTAAAGCAATGATTTAAATTTTTTTTTTTTTTTTGAAATTTTATAATTTTCCACACACTAAAAATTAAAAAATTTTTAAAATTTGCAAATATCTTAATATAAAATGCTATAAAAACAACCATTTTTGCATTTTTGAAGTTATGGATCAACTACATATTTTCAATGTTAATTTTTTTTTGATGAAATATTCTGACGACAGAGCCAACGACACCGGGGAGGCCAAGGAAATACTCTTCCTACCACCCCCTCCCCACTTTTTTTGTAAAGGATCTATTTTTTTTAATGAAATTTCTAGATATAGAGGACTTTTTTTAGAAATTGACAATTGCGCCTCTCTACTTTGAAACCCGTGTCGTTGGCTGTGGGCGAATAGATCATAACGGTCCGAGTTTTATTTATATTTTCATTTTTTGTTCAAAATTTGAATTTTTTGATAATTTACATGTTGTTAAAAACTTTTATCGTGCAACTGAAAACAAAACAAACAAAATAAAAATTACAATTAAAAATAAAAGCTATAGTTAAATCATTTATTATCATTATAATTATTTTAAAAATGTTTAGTTAATGTCAAATAGAAAAAAATTATATAAATATAAAATAAAATTTCATTTAAAAATCATTGAAATAAAAAAAAATAATAATAAATAAATCTAAAAATTTAAACTAATATATAAATTAAATTATATAAATTAAAAATTTAAGAATCAAGGATACTGAAAAATAAAGAAACATTGGAATTTTTAAGTTCATAAGTAAGTACATGTTCAAGCTAAATTTTTCGTGACTTTCTAAAAATAAAGAATTGCAAAAGCGTTCATTTATTTTAAAAGCTTAAAATAAATTAATATTAAAATTTTAAAATTTTTAGGGATTGTAGAGCCCGCGTAGCTCAGTGGTTAGAGCACTAGTCTTGTAAACTAGGGGTCGAGAGTTCAACTCTCTCCGTGGGCTGTAGCACTTGTTTTAAATTTGTTTTTTTGTGCAAGATTTTATATCTATATATAAGATCTCATATCTTTTAATATAAGATATATGTTTATATCTGAATCAGTTTATCCGCAATTCTAAGTTGAATTTAAGCGATGTGTATCATTGGCTCTATTTTTTACATTAAGTCATTGCTTAAATGTTGATCTTTTGATTTTTTTCATGATACAACACATAACGTTTCAGAGTTTAGTTACTAAATTTCAGAGCACGTTCACCAAAAAGGAGGGGGGGGGGGAATGGGCAGCTTGTCCCGGTGTAGTATGAGATTATTACTCCCGCTTTTTTTTTACTCCCCAGTAAAAATCTCATATTAAATTTTTACTCCCCAGTAAAAACCGTTTATCAAATTTTTACTCCCCAGTAAAAATCTTATATTAAATTTTTACTCCCATTATGAGATTTTTACTCCCATAAAAATATTCTGCGGCAAAACGTATTTTTGTAACAAAATCACGTTGTATTTTGAGAATAGTTTTTAACGTTTTAATTACTGCGGTTTCTTGAAAAGCAATAAAAAACGAATCTTTTTATGCAGTGGCTTTCATAATTCTAAAAGTTTAACTATGCATACTGAATTTGCCGGCGTTTATAATTTTTTAAAAAGATGCATATATCCAAAGACAGTTATTAGTAAAGGCGATAAGTCGAACTTTCGAAGAAAAACAAAACCATTTGTAATTGAAGATAATGAGCTGTATCATCTGGGTAAATCTGGCGTTAAGGTAAACAGTTTATATAATTAGAGTTTTTTTATACTAAATACATACATTTTTATGTATGTGTTTAAGTATCACGTTTTACATAATAACGTAATACATAATAATATCATGTTTTAATAATGTATCATGTAATAATAATACGTAATATATAATAATATCATGTTTTACATAATTAAATAATAAAAAGCTTGTACTTTACTAGTATAATACTGCCGTGATAAGGAAAAACACAGTAATTGTAAAAATATCCACTTTGCACTCTTTTAATAAATATATATATATATATTTTATAACAGCATCTTTAATTTTTTTTTAGAGAAAAGTTATTTGGTGCAAAGAAGAGCAACACCATATAATTAAGTCTGTTCATGATGGTAATGATATTTCTAATGAGGCTAACGCATTATCTGGCCACATAGGCATCAATTCAACAACAGAGCATATTAAAAAGATATTTTTTTGGTTTGGTATGGTAAAAGACATTACAGCCTATGTTTCAGAATGTGAAACATTATCCAACATATCGATTCCAAAAGGTAACATGAAACATGTTGGGATTGATTTGACTCAACTCCCAGAAGTAAATGGATATAAATATCTGATAGTACTAGTTGATTATTTCAGCAAATGGGTAGAAGCTGAACCTCTTTTTGATAAAACAGCAAAATCTGTTGCAATATTCTTGTATAAACAAATATGTAGACACGGGTGTTTTGAAATACAGATTAACGATCAAGGCCGTGAATTTGTAAATGAGCTTTCAAATGAACTTCACAGAAAAACTGGGACTCGCCAACGCATGACGAGTGCATACCATCCACAAGCAAACGGTTTAGTAGAACGTCAAAATCAGTCAATAAAACGAACATTGGTAAAGGTGCTAGAAGATGCTGCTCTTGAATGGCCATTTATTATTGACGGTGTTTTATTTTCAATGCGAATTAGAAAACACAAATCAACTGGATTTTCACCCTTTGAATTACTTTATCAAAGAGAACCTTTTCTGCCGATTGATATAGATCAGAACCTAATTGACTATAATGATAATGCTACTTTGATTGAAGACGATTCCCAAAACAAAAAAGCAATTTTGGAAACATTCAATAAAATGAATGAAATGAAGAAGTGTATTTTCGATGAAGCTTACGAAAACATCCAAAAGTCACAAGTAAGGCAAAAACACAACTATGACAAAAGAGTTAACCCAAAGAATAGTATTGCTATAGGAACAAAAGTTTTATTGCGAAATCATAAACGTGATGACAGAAAAGGTGGAATGCTTCTTAAGCCATGGATAGGACCATACACGGTAACTAATATTTCAAGTTATAATAACTGTAGTTTAAAAAATGAAAAAAATGTAATATTGAAAAAAAAGTACAATCTAACAAGTTTGTCCTTGTACAAAGAAAAAACACTTTGTAATGGAAGCATTCAAATAGAAGAAGTTAACAAATTATCAAATGATAATGATATCAAAATTGAACCAGTTATCAAAGACGTTGAATCAAGCAAGTCATATATAAATACTCAACATGAAAGCTGTGTAAATGTTTTAGACAAAGAAATAGCAAAGTGTGCAACTTTTGAAATGAGAAAATTAATTGCAGAAAAGTTTGAAATTGTTTGGAAACACAATGTCGCCGTAGGAAACATAAACCTAACTCTTTGTCCTCAGGGACTCCATAGAATTAAAGGAGATGTTATGATAAAGGAAACTGCTTTTTTAGAGCAGTTTCTTTTATCATAACAGGAAGTGAGGATGAGCATAAGCAAATTAGAGACAAGGTTGTTAACCATATGTGTAATCAAATACATGATGAAATGACTGGATATTTGAGTATGCCAATTCAAACGCATATTTGTAAAACTAGGATGCTTGAAGATGCGACATGGGCGACTGATGCGGAGAAAATTGGATGTGCTTCATTTATGGAAGTAGATATTCAAGTATACAGCAAATATGGAGAGAAAACAAAATGGATGATCTACCCATGCAGTTTACGGCTTAATAAGTTAAGTGACTATTCTATATTTTTAGACAATTCAACTGGGTTCCACTTTGATGTTGTGAATAATAGTTAAAAATCTAGTCCATATACATTTTTATTTCTTTTACGAGTTTTAAATAATGCTGTTTAATTTCAATTATTGTATTTTCTTTTCTTGTACTATGTAAGTTTATATATTAAAAACAGCAATTTGTTTGAAAACGGAAGTAATATAGTTAGGCTGTCTAAATAAAAAAAAAATTTTAATAAAATTACGTGGTGCAAATTTAAAATTGTTTTACATTACATATTGTCTTACAAATCGTTATCTGAAAATTGCCCCTCCCCTATTTTCAAACACAAAAAAATTTATTTCATTTCGCAATGGTGTTTGAATCTGCTGCTACACCTTTCAAAAATAAATTTGAAAATTTTCTTTAACATTACCTTCATAAAAACACATTTAAAAAAATCTATAAAGTAAAGTCCTTTTCTAAAAACCTCCCCACCTCCCTTCTCTCATCCTTTTTATCTCAAACCCCTCCTCCAACCCTATTTGGACGACGTCTTCTATTGATGACCCCTTACTACATGATTTGGATCGGCTCTTGTTTTTTCATTTAAATACTACAATATTTTAAAATAATGTTCATATTAAACGGAATCGTTTTTTTATTGCTATTTAAAAAACAACTGTCTTTCAAACATTAAAAATAAAAATTCAAAATACAACAAAGTCGCAAAACACATTTTGCCGCGTAATATTATGGGAGTAAAAATCTCATAGTGGGAGTAAAAATTTAATATAAGATTTTTACTGGGGAGTAAAAATTCAATAAGCGGTTTTTACTGGGGAGTAAAAATTTAATATGAGATTTCTACTGGGGAGTAAAAAAAAAGCGGGAGTAATAATCTCATATTACACCGGGCGGCAGATATCCAAGGGGCGCCAAAAGAAGGTACCTAAAAAAAAAAGGTCCTTCATCTGTAATGAAGGGAAATTTTGATAGATAAGGGCGCCAGTCAGGGTTGCTGTACCAGGGAGCTTGACGGCTCTCTGCAGCCCTTTTTCAGAAATAAATTTACTTTATTATTCATAAATTAATCGAACTGTGTCTGAGTAAATGTTTTTTTTAATAAGGTAATAAAGTTTACCTTCTAAAAAACTCAGCTCCAATTAGAGTTGTTAACCAGAAGATTTCATACAATTTCGGAAAAATAAAATTCTTTGCAAAGGATATTGAGAATCAGGAATTTATTTTTTACGTACCGAATTTTACGAAACAAAAAAACCCATCGTTACTCATTCGTTACCTCACGCAAATGCTATTTCGAAATGTATTACGAAATGTCTTTCGCAAGTTGAATTACGAAATAAAATTTTATTTCGTAATTCAACTTGCGAAAGATATAGTTAAGAAAGAAATAGTTTTAAAAGAAATAGTTTTAAAACTATTTTGCTACATACGAAAATAGTGGTTTTGGATAGCAAGCGGATAGATACAAATAGTCGCAGTTGCGAAACGAGCTCTTTCGCTAAACGACGTTTTGAATTCAATATAGAAAGTTTGTTTGCCAAACGGATATAATTGTAAAAAATAAACATTTTATATACCAAAATGTTTATAATGAAATTTTATTTTTAGTATTGGAACATTAAAAACTTTGAATCGTTTAAAAATTTATATTACTCTTTAAATTATTTGTTTAACTTGTATTTCGAAAACATGAAAGGAAGTGAATATGCCTTTGTTAGAAAATTCTCTTTATAATTCATCGCTTTATAAATTGATTAGCGCGAGTGAGCGGCATTGGAGGCGGAGTTGCTACCTATATTCGTGAAAAATTTAAATTAAAAAAAAAGGATTTATTAAAACAAATAAACATAAAAAAAACCTTTAGGTTTTTTTTATGTTTATTTAGGTTATGAATAAAACTAACAAATCATTTCTTATATCGACCACCTTGTGGAAATCAAAATAATTTTATTAATAGCTCGAAAAACATAACATCACGAATTTGTAAACATGATAAGTATATATTTTTTGAAGGTGATTTAAATAATGATGCTTTACAAAGTTTCCCAACGTTAAATCTTTTTTTGATTCATTACTTGAATTTAATATAAATCCTACAATTTTTAAACCAACAAGAATTACGCAAAAAACTTCTTCTTCCATTGACAATATTTTAACAAACAACTCTTATAATTCTGATTTTGAATCTGGTCTGTTTAATTGATGGTTTTTCTAATCATTTCCCCATTTTTCCCATTACACGTGGTATTCTATCTAATAGTGATAATAAAAAATGTCTTGTCACTAAAAGAAACCTAACTAAAAAAGATCTCGATAATTAAAAAAATAAACAATTTGAGGAATCCTAGAAAAATTTATACGTAACTAAAGATCAAAATCATTTAATAACTTTACGGCTACTTTTAAATGTATTTTTGATACTGTCTTGTCCAATAGTAACATCTGAAATAAAATATAAAGAGTTAAAAAATCCATGGATGACGAGTAATCTTATAAAATCGTCTATGAGAAAGCAAAAACTTTATATAAAACTTTTGAAACCAAAGGATGAAGGTAATGAAAAACATACAAAGCTTATAAACAGTTTTTTCAAAAAAGTATTAGTAAAGCTAAAACAATGTATTAGTCTAATATGCTAAATAATAATAAATTAAACATAAAAAAACATGGTCGATTATAAACGAAGTAACTGGTAGAGAAAAAAAAATCCTTTAGCATACCTCAAAAAATAATTTGTGATAGTAAATCATTGCAAATAAATCAGATATTTACCATGTACTTAACAAAAACTTTGTAAATCTTGGTTTAGCTTCAAAAATAGTGATGCCAAATAAGAAGTTTGATGAATTTATTGGAGATAAACTATCCTTAATAAACTTATTATCCTTAATAAACTTAATATCCTTAATAAACTTAAACTGTAAAAAAACTAACTACATCTTATTTCATAAAACAGGTCAATCAATGTCTCTACCGTTAAAAATTCCAGAGTTTTTTTTTTTTTTTTTTTTTTTGTACATTTTCGTCATCGTTATAATAAATTATTTACAACATATTCATTTTTAGTTAAGATATGACAGGAGCAGGCAGAAGAAAAAAGTCTTATCATCCAGCCCCGTTATAACATTTACATATCAAACAAAGAAAAATTATCCATCATATAAGAAAATACTTATATATATATATATATATATATATATATATATATATATATATATATATATATATATATATATATATATATATATATATATATATATATATATATATATATATATACACATACACACAAATACATATTTATACAATACAATACAAATATAAAGATAAGTAATTGTATAAAGTGTGATGCCGATTTTTAACAAAAAGAAAAGTTAAAGAAATAAAAAATAAGAGAAAACAAAATAAAAATTAAAAATAAAATAGTATTTGAGATGCGTCATAATCAAGTAACTGTTTTTTTAAGATACTTTTAAAAGTTTGGATTGAAGTTGTAGTTTTACTATTATTTGGGAGAAATGAGTTCCACAAATGTGGCCCTCGGTAAGTTATTGAGAATTTAGATTGTTTTAACAAAGTTTTTGGTACCTGATAATTAAGCAATAAATGCTTTGTTTGATATTTATGATCTATAATAAAAAACAGATCTTCAAAAATATTAGGTAGCATATGATATTTTAATCTAAACATGAATAAAAGAATATCATAAATATTTAATTGGTTCATTCATAAATATTTCATTGGTTCATGAAAACATTCAGCACTCCAAGCTTACGAAGCAGTGGATTGGCACTGGTGTATTTATTAGCATTTAATATTAATATATTAAAAGTTGCTCATTAACAACATAAAAATAAAACAGGAAAAATATGCAAAGTTTCTTGGTGTTCGAATTGATGAATATTTATCATGGAGAAATCATAATGGACACATTGAATCAAAAATAGGTCATCTGCAATAGTTTTTTTTAATTACTGTTCAAGAAAAATACTTTACGTTTGTCTAATTCACAGTCATCTCACATATGCTAATATAGTGTGGCTGATACACACAAAACAAAATTAATCGAACTACAAGGCTTGCAAGACCATGCTTGTAAAGCAATTCATTATCTAGGTAGAATGGACAATCTTTCTAATACGATGACAAATATGAAAGTTTTAAACTTAGAAAAACTTGGTTTATATGTTCAAATATAAAAATAATATGCTACCAAATTCTTTTTTAGACATATTTTCGTCATCATTTTCTCAAAGTTATAATTTGCGATCAAATAGCATCCATAACTATTATATTAAAAAAACTAAAACCCGGGGTTCTGAACTTTCAATTATGTCACAGGATTTCAAATATGAAAAAACTTGAAAAATCAAAAATTAAAAGACTTAAATAGAAAATCATCGTTTAAACGGCAAGCAAAGCTGCATATTCTTAGTTTGTAAAAATGATTTTAATAAATTTAAAATATATATATATAGGGTAAAGTAGGGAAATTTCGGCAGGGAGATAATTTCGGCACCCCTTCAAAAGACATCTAAAAATATTTATTTTTCGGAATATTAAAGTTATAATTGGGTATTGTAACAAGATAAACAATTTTTATAAAAATATTGGTTTAAACTTTTCTTTTTACATCACAGGTACGTTAATTTAGGATTATTAACTTTTTCTTAACATTTTTACCTTTTTGAAAATGTAGGATAAATAAACTTTTCTTGCAAATATTTACCATAATTATATTTTATAAATATATAAATATTTACCATAATTTGTTATTTATTTTATTTAAAAATTTAAACTGAATAAAATGTGAGCAACAATAAGATGAAACTCAAAGTATGTTACAAAATATAAAAGTTTCCCCAAGGACTGCTCTAAGGAGGTAACTTCGGCTGATAAATAGTTGTTAATTTTTTTAATAACTTATAATTTAAAATAATTTAAATTGTAAAAGTTATTAAAAAAACAAACAAACGTTTTTTAAAAATTATTATAAAAACAAACAAACAAAAAAACGAAAAAATAATTTAGTAAAAACAAATACAAAAAAAAAAAAAAAAAAAAATTAAAAAACAAGTGGTTCCTCCTATTTAAAAGTCTCAAAAAAAGTCTAATACGTTGTCAGTTATCAAAAGTTTTCACGTTTATTTTTAAATTGATCTCATGACATAATTAAAAATTATAAATTCTTTTTTTATATATAATCACAATAACCATAAGAAAATATATATTTACATTTACATTTGGCAGCAACAACGGCAGGACTTCTAGAAGATCATGAGGATCTTATCATGAAGCCCTTAAACACATTTACACTTTTTTAATATAATTTTAATTAAAAATAAACTGTTCGTAATGAAATAATATAGTTATAGTTAAAAATAGATTAGTATATTTTAATAAAAGGATAATCTTTTTAAGTTTCTGTTTAAATGAAGCATAAGCCATTTTAATAGAAAAATCAAAATTTGGTAAAACTATTTAGATAAGGTCCTTGATAAGAAACAAAAAACTGGTCTTTTTTTTGATGGCAAAAGGGGACAATAAGATTGTTATTTGTGCGAAGATTATATTTATTTATCAGTTTCAAATTATAAACATTTTAAAATACAGTTGGTGACAGATTTTCTCTACATTTAAACATAAAGCACAAAATATTAAAAACATTTAGTTGGTACACATTCAAAATATTCATTTCTTTAAAAAGTTGTTTTGTGTAAGAAAACCAATTTTTAAAATTTATTAATCGAACTGCGTGTTTCTGACGAAGGTAAAGAGATTTAAGCTTTGTCTTATGGGTGCTTTCCGATATACTATTTGCATAGTTTTATGACAATGAATAAATGAATAATACAATTGTATTAACTGATGTTTACTTAATATATTTCTTGCTTTATAAAGAATTCCGATGCATTTTGCAATTTTTGTGGAAGTAGCATCGGTAAGATACCTCCTAGACAAATTTTCATTAATATATATTCCAAGAAACTTTGTAACCTTTTCCCTTTTAAAAGTAATATTGTCGATTATAAGACTTGGCATGATATGTGGAAGTTTTTGTTTTTTAGAAAGCGGAAAAGAGTGTCCATTTCGTTTTTTCAATATTGAGGGAAAATCTATTTTAAACTAAACAAAAACTTTTTTAATTCATTTGTCATATCAGTAAATAGTATATTAGTATATTCATGAGACAAAAATAAATTCGTACCATCTGCAAAATTTATTATTGTTAGGTTTGAAGATTTATGAAGATCGTTTATGTATATTAAAAAAAAGAATGGACCAAGTATGGATCCTTGCGGAACTCCACATGATATATTCATAAATGCACGAGATGTGGAATCTTTATTGAAAACAAACTATTTACGGTTTGCAAGGTAACTTTTGAACCAAAGCAGAGTTTTATCTTTAATACCATAAGACATAAGTTTATATATATATATATATATACATATATATATATATACATATATATATATATATATATATATATATATATATATATATATATATATATATATATATATATATATATATATATATATATATATATATATATATATATATATATATATATATATATATATAATAGTTATGGAATATATTTGATTACAAACCATAACTTTGTAAAAAAAGTCAAAAGTCAGTAGCTTTTTATTTTTAACATAAAAATAGGAATCTGATGTAAAAATAAGTAAATCATACCCAGCGGGCGCAGAATGTCCGCTGGACATCTAAATGACGTCCTACGGACATATAACATTCACAAGACGTCTCACGAAGTTTTTGCCCTTTGGTTATAAATTAAATTCTCCCAAATTTAAGAGTTTTATATTTGTCAACACATTAAAAGGATTGTCAGTTCTAATTAGATAATGAATTGCTCTACAAGCCTGGTTTTGCAAGCTTTGTGGTTTGTTAACCATTAATGGCATCCACTACAAGTGGCCAGCTAATAACTTTCCAGCATGTGAAATAGCGGCTAGCCACTTTTGGAGACTATCACTAATGATCCGATGAGCAAAACTTTAGTGGACCGCTTAAAATGTATATATAGGTCCACTGAAAATCCGCTATAGAATGTTTGCTGGTTATCTATGTAGAAAATGAAACTACGTGGTTTTTATGCAATTGCAATCATCAGATAAAATACAATTATCTGTAAAAATTATAGTTTTAAAACTATTTGAGGCATACGGAATACAATTTGTTTAAATTAAAAACAAAAAACGAAAGCTGTCGTATTTGTAACAACTTTTGCGAGGGGAGGTAGTTGTAGTTAGTGGATGCCCCCTTATGTCCTTTTTTTTTCCATATTGAAGAAAAAGGAATGACGATTTTTTTAAGACATGGCCGTGATGATGAGGTGTTGTATGAGGAAGGGGGTGAGAAATGTTTCTTTTACTAAATAACGACTAAAACAAACCCTTCTGTTTTTGAGATTTACTGACTAAGGGTTGAAATTGCTGACACTTTTTGACTGTTTCTTAGTTGGAGGCGATCTTTAGTACGACCCCGTGCTTCGGTAAAACTATGAAATTACTTATAATAAAACTTTATTTAGTTTCAATTTTAATTAAATTCTTCTCAAAATCTCTTCCTCCTCTTCTTCCATCGATAAAGGACAAAAAATAGATGTAAATTGAAAAAAAGAAAGAACCCCAATGTGCGGATTCACTAAACTTTTTCAACTTACGGCTCAACTAAAGTTACGTAAACAATACATTCATCTTTTCACTTAAAAATTATTCACATACAGTTTTAACATTTTAGTAGATCAAGGTAAGGCGCGATACCTAAGCAAAACCTACGTTCTAAGATAAACACTCACATCTACGGTTTATTTTTTTAATAAATCATCCTCAAACTAAAACAAATAATATGCACGAAATTATTCTAAAATCTCAATATTTGTTAAATTAAAGATTATTTGTTACTTTTTATTTTGTTAAGAACTTTTTTATATATATTTTATAGAGCTAGGTTTGGTTGGTGTACAGTCAAAAAAACAACATCCAAACTTCATTATATATTTCTCAACACAATTAAAGTAAAGGACATTGATAAAAACTTGATTTTATAAAATTATCAATAATATTATTCGATGTTTAATTAAATAACGATAAATTTAAACATAAAAATCATAGCTAACAACTCAAGACAATTTGCGTTTTACGTGTATACAAAATTTTTTTAAAATTTCTAATAAAATGAATTAAATAAAACCTTTTTTTCCTTGTCGTTATTATAAAACGACTAAAACAACTGTATGCAATTCAAAAATTTCAAAAAAGAACATGTTTTATATGGCACCCGCTAGTAGCATGCTGACATAAAACTATGTGGTTGCTTAATATACGGTATAATTCCAGTAATATACGATATACCGTATAAATAAGCAACCACATAGTTTTATGTTAGCATGCTACTAGCGGGTGCCATATATAACATGTACAGATCTAAAATAAATTATTTCATTTAATATAAAGATCAATATTTTTTACATTAGTTCTTAAAATAACAACATTAATAAACTAGTAAAGGATATTTATCATACCCTTTTATTTGACTGACTTCGACTATTATCGCACTGTGCGAAATATGGTATTTGCAAGTAACATGTTGATACAGAGCTATCTGAATGACAAATTCAGTATTCTGTTTTTTGAATGAACTGAAACAGACAATCAGTCAGCATACAATTTTTTATTCTTTGTTCTAGACTATAACATAAACTGTTAAATTATTTAATTATAACTTGCAATCATTTGATTAGATTTTAGCAATGTTTTCTAATAAAACATGAAATAAAAAAAAATTTTATGATGTGAAAGATATTTAAGATTTTCAAAATTATGTTTTAAAATAGCTATTCTCTAGTGCATTCTGATACAATAATTCTTTTTTCAAATAAATATTTTTCCCGCGGATTCCAAATATGAATAAAAACTTGTAGATAAAAACAAAAAGTGTTTGTAATTTAGCAGAATATTTTATACTCTGAAAAAAGAAACTGTTCGCAGATGAATGAATTTATTGGATAAAAATTCCCCAAACGATTACATCGAAAAACATCAGCAAATTTGTGTGTGCAATGAAATGTCATGAAAAAAGGAGTTGTTTTTTAAAAATCCAGGTTAATATGGAATGCGTAACAATGGCCATGTATAAGGCAAAACCATAACATAAGAAATATGCACCTTTTTAAGATACTCGAGGAATTAATTTGTTGCAAATTTTTGACGAAAAGTCATCAAACAAATTATTACTGGAGCTTTATTCTGCAGAAAACATTCGCATTTTTCTTATTTAGCTTTTTAACCATATAACCCATGCTTTTCAAAATATGTTCTACCATATAAGTGCCTTCAACGATTTCTGCGTTATTTGGTTCGACATCACAAATATGAATTTTTTCACAGTTACAGCAATATTGTATAAATAACAAAATATCTTCAGAAGGTGTATTGTTGTAGTTAGAGGATATTACAACTAATCTAGCTAGCTAACTAATCGGTACGCATTCAGCAGGAATATAACTCACAAGAATCGAATTTAACTTTAATGTATCAGCATTAAAAAGTTTAACTAGTCCAAGTTTTTAACAGACAGAATATAAAGACAAATCTTTCTTAAATGAGCCCTAGCCTCTGAAAACTGTTTAGAATCTAATTTTTCAGAATTAAAAACAAATGATCTATCTAGACGCCTATAGGTTTTACAAAAGAATTTTTGAAGCTAGTTCCTATTTTTGTTTCCTATTATGACATTTTCCACTAAAATTAATGTCTATGTGGGAGACCCAAGCAAAAAATCAATAAATGTTTGCGTAGTTTATGTAGACATAAATGGCAAATAAGAGGTATTTCTATGCTTGTATTTGTTTGAATACAAACTGAAAAAACCACTGATTGTTTCTTTGGACAATACAAAGCCAACAAATTCCCAACCTGAAAGAAATTCAAATAAAAAAAACTAACTCAGTTGTTGAGCAATTAAAAAAGATAACTTTTTTTGGAAATTTACCTAATTCATAACCAGCACAAGTGGATTTGAACAAGCAAAAAATTCTTCTTTCCAATAACGAGTCTTTCCAATAACGAATGCAAGTATTGGATAAACATTTTTTAAAAAAAACATCACACTCAATCACTTCACGATCTGTGTAAAGATTGTATTAGATTTATGGTAAAATTCTGTATAACCAGATAAAACAGATTCAGATACCCACCCAGTAATAAGAAAATTTAAAAAATTTAAAAACTTTGTCAATCATTAAATCATCATTAATCATGGAAAAATGGAAGCAATTTTTACAGTAGAATGAAGAATACAAATACAAAAGCAATACAAATGGATGCCCATTCCGGCATTAATATGTTTTGCAAATCAGGACGGAGTACTTTTACTGTTATACTACACTTACCTCTTGATATCTCAAACTCTCAGGGGACTGGTAAAAATCATAGTAAGATATCAAAAGAATTGCATCCAAGCGTAATATTAAAGGGTCCAGGAAAAAGATTGAGATAGAGGGTTTGAGATATCAAATGTCGATAGATAAATATTTAGGATATCGAGTCGACTGTACTACTTGAAAGATCCAAGGTTTGCAAGCATCTCCTATTCTTAAACTGGAATTATTACATCAGAAGAGACTCACCAGCCTCAAAGCAGGTCGTAATTGATTACACGTTACCAGTAGCAGGGTGACCTGACAATAAAACTTATATTTTACCTTATTTAATATTTAAATATTCATGATACTTTTATCAGAGCACTTTAAAAAGTTTAAAATTAAAACTAATTTAATATTTAAAACTATTAACATATGTAACAAATGTTTTGTTACATATGAAATAATGATTTCATATGTAACAATATAAAAAAAATTAAAGGGATTTCTAAGTACTATTAACATATGATTTCTATGTAACAGTATAAAAAAACAGTATTAAAACATAACAAATGTGTACCCATATTAACGATTTTGTTTTTTAAAATATTACATTTTATATTTAGTTCATGCTATTTTATTTTTATTTTTTATTCAAACTGTTTTTATTATCTAATCTAAATCAGTTCATAAAAGTTGTACAAAAAAATGTTACACTAATTTCTAATAAAAAAATGTTACACTGATTTCTAATTAAAAAAATGTTACACTGATTTCTAATAAAAAAAAAATGTTACACTGATTTCTAATAAAAAAAAAGTTATTGTTTCCATTTATAAAATAAAGTATTAAAGATTGTAAAGTAAACCATGTAGGTCGCAGTTCTAATTCAACTTAATTATATTTTTAAACAACTTTTTTTAAATTATATTGTTTATACTTTTTTGTTACAAAACTAATTAAAATTTAACGTAGTAATCTATTTTTTTAAGAAATAAAGAAAAAATCAAAGTTGATACTCAAAAGTTAACGTGACTAAGAACCATTTTTATTACTAATAATTGAGATTTGATGTGAAAAACATTTGATTAAAATTTTTTTGAGTGAATTTTGCATCTATTTTTTGTAAGTGATGAATTTATTATTAAAATTCAGCACAAAAAAAAAACAGCAACATTTTTTACCAAAACATGTTGGTAGTACTTAGAGATTTTGAAAAAAAATTTTGAAAAAATTGTAATGTCTGAAATGTTATATATGTAAAATTGGTTATATCTGTAATATGTGTTATATTGGTTAAAAAAAGAAAATTGGTTTATCTGTAAAAATAATTCATTAAATCAATCATAATCAACTGTTTTTAACTTAAAAAATGTTTTTACACCACAGTCACAGATGTCTAGATCAACAGAAGAATAAAACAATATCAACTGATAGCAGTCTTTTTACAATGTCACTGCTAAACCTTTCATTAAAATGGTCATTGGAAATAGTTTTTTTACTTGGGACATTAATTCGAAATGCCCACAAACCAGATGCTAAATCAAAACATTTTCCCACTAACAAAAATAAGATTTTACACAACAAAAAGATAAAAAAGCCAAAAATAAATAAAAAATTTAAACAACTAAAAACCTTTCCCTTGATTATCCTCTAACTCAGAATCAAAAGAAATCACTTCATCTTTGTCATTACAAAATGATTCTACAATGTTTTGAACAAGATAAAAATATTCTCTAAAGACTTTTAGGTGTGGACATAAGCTTTGTTAAGATAGCAATTTTATCCTTAAAGTCTAATAATAACTTTAAAACAATAGTTCTAGGTTTTTTATTGTTTCTCAGTCCAGTGCGATGTGCACGCTCAGTTAATAGCATCATTAAAAAAATTCATAACAATTGCGCTGTTTGCGCATTAGATGAAATAGCCAAAAGGTACCAAACTCAAAAAAACAAATCTGGAAACTCTTTATCTTCATCTCTAGTTTTAGACGACGAACATTATGAAGACGAAGGTTCAAACGCCTTTCTTGAAAATATATTAAATTCAAAGAGAATCACTTTAAATTCTTATTTCATTGAAAAATGTTTTAAAAACTGTAAATTTAAAAATTTACTTGATCAACCTCAACTGTTCCAATTTCACTTGAATAAATTTGACAACATGGAAAAAGATCATCTTAACGAAAACGTTATAGCAGAATATTACAAATCTAAATTAAAGGTTTTCTTACTCGAAAGAGACGTTAAACCTGTCATACAATTTGAAGGCGATCAAACAGACGGTTTCATTGATACTTTTACATCAAAAATATTATCTACCGCTTCTATTATCATAGAAAAACTAGATGGTGTATTAAAAAAGAAATCTTTTCTGAAATTCTGCTAAAAGAAACATTGAGGGAATCATAAAAGACGGTCTGATAAAAAAAACATTATTTGTTAATATTTTACACGTTATTGTAACATTATTTCAAGTTTTTTTAGTTTAGAAAAAGAAGTATAATGTGTATTAACGATTCTTTGTCTCGTTATTTTAATAGTGAACCCTTTTTGAAAGATTATTTTATGGGTGTTTACGCTTTTGACGAATTAAGTCAAACTCAAACACACATTCGCATTATTCAACCCATGGTAAAAAATGGTTCTTTTTTTATATACAACAACCAAACTAGCAAAGAAAAAGGTCAACATTGGAGACTTTTACTTAAAATTGACACTAACCATTTTTTTTTGGGTTTTACAGTTTAGGCACAGAAAGCTGTTTACAACAAATTCCCCCTTTTTTAAGAAACAATAGACATTTGAAGCTGTAGAAGAAGTACAAACTAACAAATTAACACCATAAACATAAATTATAATGAGATTGAAATAAGTTCTTATATGCGACAAACTGATCACTTTCCATACGAATGGACATCCGATAATCATGAATTTTATTGGTTTACAAAATTTATTTTAAAATATAATTCATTAACTGGAGAACAAACTATTTTGTTTTCTTATAACCAATCTTGTTTTCAATGGGAAAACAGTAGTTTATGTGGAGCTTTTGCTGCTTATTTTATATCACTATTACCAAACTATCTTATTGATGGTCAAATTTATTTACCTTTGTTGTGCAGATTATTGAACTATCATTTCTATGAAGTTTCATCTCTTCATGCCTCTGAACTAGCGCAGACAAATTTGCTTCCATTTTTTTACTATATTCAAACCATATTATTTAAACACTTGGATGCTACTGCTAAACAATTCTTTGAAAGAGATATGAAGCTACATCTCTATTTAAGAAAAAACGAGAGTCTGGTACGTAATCTAGTGACAATGGAAACAAAAAAAGTTCCTATAGAAAAAGATATTTTTAAAAATGAAGTCATTACAAATAACAAAGTAAGAAATTTTTTGAATGATGCTAGATTATTGAGCACAAACAATGAATGTCAATCAATGGGATCAAATATCTATACATGATATTAATGCAATTCGAGATGTTATGAACGAAGATGTTATGAACGAAGATGTTATGAACGAAGATGTTATGAACGAAGATGTTATGAACGAAGATGTTATGAACGAAGAAAACATTCATTTAAAAGAATACGAAAATATAAACGAAAATTATTTTTTCGATTACAGAAGATTAAAAAATGTAAAAAATTTTATTGATATTCCTATAGATGATGTCATGACAAAAAAAGTGATAAAAAACCGCTTCATCCAAAATTTAATATAAACAAAAAAAAAATGAAACAACCCAGTGGGCACCGAACCAAATAAAGACATCTTTTGAACGTTCAAAAGACGTCCGAAACGTTCAAAAGACGTTCAAAAGACGTCTAAAACGTGTATAAGACGTTTAAAAGACGTCTTTTTAACGTCCGTGTCCACTGGGAAGCTGCACTGTGTCTAATGCAAAAAAAAATTATTGAAGAAATATGCGAATCGTGTACAGGATATGGCGAAATTTATATCTATAATTTGAAAGACACAAAGTTAATAAATTTGTTAGAAGAATGCAAGGCTAACGTGATCAACGAACAAGTTTGGTTGGAGCCGTGACGCAGTGTTTAGAGTTCTGGCTCAAAACCCAGAGGTCCGAGGTTCGACGCCAGCTCTAGCCCAACAAGCGACATTGGTACGGAAAGAGGCGTGAACTTCCTGTTAAATGCTCTCCCGCGGTGCTCTATGATAAGACCGTAAGGACTTCTGGGAGCACCTAAATACATACAAAAAAAAAAAAAAAAAAAAAAAAAAAAAATGTACCTGGGAAAATAGCCTTTCCAATCAAAACAAATGAAGTAACTTGTGATATTTGTCAAGGAAAGAAAAAACTGTTATTAAGGTGGTTCCCCTAGAAAAAAACTATTTTCTTTTATTGCAATAGCGAAACGTTTTTATAACAATTTTTTAATACTAGGAATAAATACGAATTTAAAAATTGTAATTTTATAAAAATATAGGCATTTTCTAAAGCTGAGTCAGCATTTTTTTGCTTTTTTATGAGCAAAAATCAGGAGAAACTTGGGACACAATAATTTTAAAGCAACAAATGTATATAAGATAAAATTTGTTACAATGATAAATTACATATATATAAAAGGGAATAAGCAAAAAAAAAAATTCTAGATACTGGCTTAAAAACTCATAATGGCGGTCAACGTAAAAAAATACACTTTTGAAACACTCTATATCAATATAAAATTGAAATAATATAACAAATAAAAAAACTGTTTATAAAACCACGTTTTTGTAATGAACTAAAAAGTAGAAAATAATTTTCTCTTGTGGCTATAGAAATTTTTGAAAATTAATTGAGTCGATAGTAAGTGACATGAAAACTTTTGATTATGAACTCTTAATAATTACGATAACATTTGTAAAATTTTAAACGAAAAACGTGGTGCGCATTCTGTCACTTTAAATGATCATCATCGTCCTTAATTACTTTAACTATTGCTTCCTTCTTCTGTTCTTTTTTTTCGTTAAAATCACAGCGACAGTTAAATTTGTTTTTTTTGTTCGATAATGTTTTATTTAAAGCGACGCGTCAAATTGCGGCGACGCCTCCAAAAGTTTCGCCATAATAAATTTTATTTTGCTGAAATTGTTCAAAAAACTCGGCAGATCATGGTAAAAGTAGTATAATATTGCATTGTCATCAGGTTCTGAGCTATAGTAAAAGTTTAAATTATTAATCGAAAAGTGGGTTAAACATGAGTTGCAAAATTCCACCCGGACAAACAAACAAACAAGAAAGCGAGCTAATAAAAACGTGGTAAAAAATTAAAATAAATAAAGAATCAGTAATTATTTTTCGCTCAGTTTCTAGGTATATGTTTGAAAATTTAAAGTGATTAAGTTTAATATTTATTAAAATATGAGGTTTAAAAAATTTAAGGTGGTAGCAGGGGATGACATGTACAATTAATGACGTCATCATTAAATTTTTATGCAATTAGTGTTAATTTTTTTTTTAATAGTATATACCATTAAAATAAAAAGTTTATAATTATTTTTATTTTTTTGAAAAAAAAAGCGTTTTTTCCCTGCTACCACATTAAAATTGCATGAAAACTATATTTCGCAAAAAATGCAATTTAAAAACTTAAATACAAAAAAAACTATACAAATTAAAATCCACCAGATAAATAACTTTTCTTGGCTTTTTCTAGGTCAATATAACCCTTTTATAGCGGCCCTTATTTTTTTTCTTATGATTCCTTTTTCGTTTCTCTTTTTAGTGCTCTTATCAATACATTCTTTATCTCTCTTAACAGATAATTGGTCAAAACAGTAACCGTTTGAAATTCCAAAATATTTTAAAACAGTACAAAATACACTTAAAATTATTCTCGAAACTGTTATCTAGAAACAATATTTATTAAAAACAAAATAAAAAACATTGATAAAGTGTAACAAACATAGCATTTGCAAACAAGCAAAATATATTTCTGTCAACCACACTAACATCACTTTCATTAACTTTTTTCTGTTCCATTAATTAATTCCGTGCACATTTGAGTAATTTACAAAACATAAAGTGCTTTCTAGAATCAGAGTAAAAAAAAAAAAAGATCACCTATTTTTTTCAACTTGTCAAATATTTACACTGACAAAATGTGTTGCTAAGGCGTTGTTATGGACATTTTCAGTGTACCCATATTCTAAAACCCTAATTTTTCATCTTTATACTTTAAAAGACCCATCAAATAATACATCATTGGAAAGAGTATAGAACGGCATTTAAAAAGTGTATGTATTCAAAATTTTGATTTTTTTTTTCAAAATCATGTTTTTTTTCTAGAGGAACCACCTTAAAAAAATTATAATTGAACAAGATACAGAAAGAACAACAAAAATTGACTTTGTATATTAATTATATTTAATAAATAAACATAAAAACATTACAAGTTTATTTAATACACTTCAAAACTTTTATCTATAGGTTTATATGGGTTAACGGGTGGTTGAATTACAACTAATGTTTTTGTTGCATTGGCTATTGATTTTTTTCCCTTTCTATGCTTTTCTTAAACCATACATAAAAAAACCCACTTTTAAAACGTTAGTTATATTTTGCGGTGTAACGTAATCAGTTAAACCACGGTCACGTTGATTACTTTTAACTTTACGAGTACGTCTTCTTTTTATTCGCTTTCTTCTAACAACCATATAGATAAAGAATCGTTTATGACTGATACAAAATCATCATAACTCATAATAATTTGTTTTTGATTTTTAAGCATTTCATCTTTGTTTAAATAATCATATATGAAAACAACACCTGCATTATTGCTTGAAGGAGTTACTTTTATTTGATTGCTACCGTCCAACCAAAAAAATAATTTAAAATTACCTTACTAAAAAATTTTTAAATTAATTTTCTTTACGAGTTAGACGTAAGCAATTGAATCTATTTTTTTAATTAATAAATGAATTTTTTTTATTCTTTATATATACTTTTTTTTTTCAAAATAAAAAAAAATAACACTATTAAATATATTAAGTTTACATTTTATTATTGGTAATTCATATCCAACATATATATTCCCTTTCTATACATGACTTATGTTAATAGTGTATAAACCAGAACGTACTTTATAATCGATAACAAAACCTCTTAAAAAAGTAGAAATATCTGTATGTGCTTCTTTTTTGTTTCCACTTATTATCTGACATAGATATTCGTTAAAATATTTTAATGTCAATATATATTCGCCATGACTTGTAACATCTGCTCTTATATTATTTAGAGAATATTCTCTCATATCTTTAAGTGTTAGTTTGTAAAATTCCAAAACATCTTTAATAATATTAATGTATGTGTTTATAAAACATTTACTGCAATGTTCTTTTCTGTGATATCGTTTATGAGAATATTCACACTTTAAATAAAAATAATTTTTTGATTGCTTACGGTAAAGCGTACGTGTTTTGTTTGGTAACATTTTTTTTTAAACTGAATTTTTCTTTGCGTTTAAATACCAATTTAGTATCTTATCTCAACCACCTCTTAATCTTTTAAAAACGTTTCCACCACGGTGCTTTTTACCTTTAAAAAAAATATATTTTTAAGGAATTCTACCAAATTTTTTATAAATCCAAATAGCTACATTTCTTCCTCTTAAATTATTAACTCTACCCATTATGTTACGTAAGCGTGCATGCGGTTTTGATTTTTTGTGTATAAAAATATATCTTTTTGCATGTTTATTATGTCTAAACACCCTTCTCATTTTTTTTACTAATAAAAAAATATCTTTGAAATAAAAACTTATATTTTTTTAAAAAAAAATATTGTGTGTCACCCGACACTGTCCTTACTTATCCAGTCGTACATACACGCTCGTTCATACACGCTCAGGACAATCACCGAGAGGACGAGTCTCAGTGGAGTACAATCATCAAGTATCAATGCAATCATCGAAACTCAATGTGGTTACATATAACTAACTAGGCTAACTAGACAGACATTCATCAAGTATCAATGACATCATCGAAACTCAATGTGGTTACATAGAACTAACTAAGCTATCTAGACAGACAATCATCGAGCGGTTACTCAATGTGTTGATACATATAATGTTAAAGCCGTAAAGTTATAGAGAGATTCGAACCCTAGACGATCGGTTCATGGCGGTTTACAACTTAGTGCGGAAATGATACGATGCACTAGGCTACGTCGACGTGTTGTTTAAGCGTGTTTTGAAATTATTTAACTTGTAATTTTAACACTTTTCGTAGAGATTTTTTTTACGCAGAGTTTTTTAAAAGTGGTTTACGCACACTTTTTAATTAAAAATTTCCCAACTTAATCTCTTTTAAAAAGCGAGATTAAAAATTTCTAATTTTAACTAACTTGTCAAAAATTCTTTTATTTTACTTAATCTTTTAGGATTTTTATATTTTTGCATAAAAGCAGCATTTTTTTATAACAAAATCAAATGGCAATAACCAAACTTATACCTCGAGTAAAAATGTCAACACAAATTGAAACAATCGTGATTGTCGATGATGAATTAGAATTTTATCCGCATGATTTTACGAAAAAAGAGTTTTTTAATTTTTAGATGAAAAAACTCAAGAACAAAACAATACAAATGAAAATAATAAAAAGAAAGAGAAAGATGATAAGGGCACACATTTTCAAATTAGTAAACCACAGGTATGTTTTTATTTATATAAAAAATTTTTTTTTTTTTAAAAGAATATATTTTTTATTTTTTTTTTTAATTTTTTTAGAAAAAAATAAAGAGTAAAGCAAAAAAGAGACGGAACCATCAAAGAACTATTAAATTTATATATAATAGACATTTTAAAAAGTTTTGATTACTTGCAATCAAATTTAAAATAATTAAATATATTTTATTATTGTTTATTTGTTTTTTCTTTTTTATAACGCTGCGTTTCTTTTGTGAAAATTTGCACATTGTTTGGACAGTTACACGTGTATTATTGAAGCCATTGATAACGATTATAAAAAAACTAAGATAAAATATGTCGAGTACTTACTTTATATTTTCAAGCTAATCCAGAAGAAAAATTTAATCCTCAAGTTATATTAATAACTTTACGGAGATGGTTGAATGACGAACAAAAAAGAAATAATTCTAATAATTCTAAAATAATACAAAATCTTGAATTAATTATAAAAGTCAAGAACCATGTAGAAACACTCATGGAAGCTTTGTTTGTCGATGATAACTCAGTATTCAATTTAAAAAATATTGATGTCGTAGACGAGAAAGAAGAATATGATATGGATAATGTTAATGATAATGATATGGATGATTATAATGGTGAAGATGATGTTGAGGATATGGAATGGAGTGTTAATGAAGAAATTATAGACAATAAAAACTAAAAATTTGGTACATATTTTATTAAAAACAAATGTTTTTTTTATATATTTATGTTTTTTTTTTTTAAAATTAAAAACATAATTATTAAGTAGTATTAATAAATAAATTACTCAAGAAATAAATCAAGAATAAAATAAGAAATATTTTTTTTTTTTAATGTTTTTTATAAGCAGAATTTTATCCTCTTTAAAATGGTATATGAATCTCATTAGTATAATTTATATATAGTCTTTTATTTCTTATTTTTATTAGTGGTATATAAGGTTTTTCTTTACATTTTTATTTTTGACGTTTTTCTTCATTTGTGACTTCAATTGAAGATGACTGAAAAAACAATCAACTCAATGCAAACCTATTATGGAAAAGCTATAAGAAGCAACTTAAACAATGTCTATGCCATGAAAAAAGCAATCTTTTCAGTGTTGTTTCACTGTACTGAGTTTACTGATGAGAACCAGCGGCTTTGAATGTGTTCAGTTTTAGGACATTTTGGCTTACATGGAAAGGCAACTGCTGAAAAATCTATTGCACGAGATCACCAACGTGTTACTAGAATTGTGTTACAAATCTCTCAAAAGAAACAAAGCTACGGGTGCGGACGAAATAAATGGCAACATAGTCATAGATTGCTTTGAAAACTTAAAATGTATTCTTTATAAAGTTTTTAGGGTATCTAATTATCGCCCTATCTCAGTTCTTTCAATTTTCTCAAAATTTTTAGAAAGAATTATATATAATAGAACATACAATTACCTTAATCTAAATAAACTTCTCAATAAAAATCAATTCGTTTTTAAAAAAAATTGTTCAACTGAACTTAATTGTGGAGATTTCACGAATGAACTGTGTAATTGCCATTACACAGTTCATTCGTGAAATATCCAATTCATTTGGTAGATCACAATATGCATTAGGTATTTTCATTGACCTATCAAAAGCATTCGACACGGTCGATCACAAAATTTTACTTAAAAAACTCAAATTTTGGTGTTCCACAGGGTTCTATTCTAGGCCCACTTTTGTTTTTAGTCTATATAAATGATTTAAATAAAGCTTCTAACCTTATGAGTATCATTTTTGCGGACGATACTAATTTATTTCTGTCAAACAGTGACATTTATGAGCATTTTTCAAATATGAATAAAGAACTCAATCACATCTCCAACTGGTTTGAGTGCAGAAAGTTAACTTTAAACATTGACAAAACAAAATGGATCCTTTTCCACTTTTTTGCTAAAAAAGCGTTTTTTACCAAATAAATTACCTAAACTTTTTATTGATAAAATTGAAATAAAAAAAGGAGTCGGTCACAAGATTTTTAGGCATTTACATTGATGAAAATATTACATGGAAGTATCATATCAACTTTATTTCTACTAAACTGCTTAAAAGTATTGGAATTCTATATAAGGTCAGATATCTAAGTAAACAAAATTTAATTCAGCTCTACTACTCATTTATTCATAGCTATATAAATTATGCAAATATTGTTTGGGGAAGTACCTCTAAAAGTAAGTTACGAAATCTCTACCATCGTCAGAAACACGCAATGCGTTTAATATGTTTTGAAAATCGTTTTTCTCATTCAAATATTTTATTTAAAAACGTTAAAGCACTTAACGTTTACGAACTTTTTCAATGTCTATAATATTTTATGTTTTATGTTTCGTCGTGAACAACCATTGTCCAATTTCAAAGATCTTTTTACTTATAAAGCTATAAACAAATATGCTTTACGAAATAATAATTTATTAATTGAACCCTTTTGTCAAACAAAGTTTAATCAATTTTGCATAAACTATCGAGCACCGTATTTATGGAACAAAATTGCTGTTCCAAACTTTGATTTGTCAATATCGTTTTCGGTTTTTAAAACTAAACTAAAAAACTATATTCATTCTACTGGCAATATATATAAATATTTTTAAAATGTAAAATTCTTTTTTTCACTCTTGATAATTTGTAAAATTATTTTCAGTTTTTGTTTCTTCTTGTTTCTTGATGATAGTTATTAGATCAATTGTATTTTTATTTTATTATATATACTCGTATGACATATTTTATATGGTTCTGGCGACAGGATCATTTGCAGGCGCGGATCTAAGGGGTGGCCATTGTGGCCATGGCCACAATGGTCACCCATTGTGGCCATGTTTAAAATTAGATAGATTTATTAAAGTTTAAAATTAGATTTATTAAAAAGTTTATTTATTTTTTATCAAAATTCTTTTAGAACTTTTAGAAATAATTATTGAAATATTTTTGAAGATATGTTATTGAAAAAGAATATAAGCAATTTTAAAACTTTTTTCGTCTAGTGGTTATTGATAAACTACGTCGCGCTAAATTTAAATTTCAAAAACTTCGCGGTAAACATTGCTAAAATCTCTTCAAAAGAGAGTCAAACTCTCCTGTGACGTACTTTATGGAAACCTTTAACAGCTTATGGCCATTGAGGTTAAATTTAACGGCAGCCAACTTACTTCGAATTTTTTTGCTAGAGGAAAATCCCTGAAAATTTCATTAGTCTGCCGCAATTTAAGGAATTTGGCTATAGAGATTTGGTAGATAATAGAATCAAAAACCTATTCCGACGTTTGAACCCAGACAGCCTCCCGCTAGCGGCCCAATGCTGGCCCAGTTCCGCTTGCGACTACGGCGCGATGACGGCCGTCGATCACGGGCCTGCATCAAAACGGCCATTGGGCCAGCACTGGCCCGCTAGCCATGGGCCAGTATTGGCCCGCAATCGTTCGCCAGCACTGGCCTGCGATTATTTGCCAGCACTGGCCCGCGATCGCTTGCCAGCATCTGTTGACAGTACTGATCCGTGATCATTTTCCAACAATCTTTCGTGTTTGCGTGTCAGCTCTAAAGCGTTACTTTTTACTAGATACTTTTACTACATACACTAGCACGTTATTATTAGCCGTTTCCGTGAAAATGTGTTATTCCATAAAATTCAAACAAATAAGTATATTTGAAATTTATTGTAAACCAAAAGTGTTTTAATTAATAATGAAATAATAAAAACAAAAACGTTGAATGAATCAAATATTTATTTTTGCAACGAATTTTTAAGATCTTCCCGAGCTTTACGGCCGCCATTTCGATCACCGGAAAGTTGAAAGTATCTTTTTATCCAACGTTCAACCTCTTCAGACACTGCTCCTGAAGTCGAAGGATTTATTTTAACAGCATCTAAACAGTGTGACTACATTGTATATATGGAATATATTTATGTATACATTAGTAAATAATTAAACATATATATATACATATATATATATATATATATACATATATATATACATATATATATATATATATATATATATATATATATATATATATATATATATATATATATATATATATATATATATATAAAATAGTTGATATATATATATATATATATATATATAAATGTATATATATATATATATATATATATATATATATATATATATATATATATATATATATATATATATATATATATATATATATATATATATATATATATATATATATATATATATATTACTATACATATAAACATATTTGTGTAAATTATCGTGATTCAAAAACGACTTTTTTTTAAATAGTCCACTGTTCAACCTAATATGTGTTCTCTATAATAAAATTTTATTATAGAGAACACATTTAAGGTTGAACAGTGGACTATTTAAAAAAAAGTCGCTTTTGAATCACGATAATTTATGGCATTAATAACGCTAAATTTGAAGTTTTTTAAACAAAAAATATTTTTAGGGGTTGCAAAAGTACCGAGTTCCTAATATTATTGGGAAAAAAATCAAAATGTCAGCCCAGTACTCAAAAGATGCACAACTAAATGTTAAAAATAATTATAATCAACACAAGATAAAATAAATATATAATAAAACACAAGATTTAAAAATAATTAACATTTACTTTATCTTGTAAGTTAAAAAAAAACATTTTTTTTTTAACTTTATGTGCAGTAAATTTTGAAAAAATAATTTGCATATAGAATGATTAATATTTGTTTTCCAGCACCAAAATTTTAAATCTTGTTTTTTATTATATAAAATACATTTACGTTTGAGGAACGGACTATATAAAAAAAAGTTGTTTTTTGAATCAGCATAATATATATATATTTATACAAATGTTATACATAGAATGAAATTTCTTCTTACCCAATAAAACTTTTTTTAAAGGCATTGTTTTCAAAGCAAGCTTATTGTTAGCTCCTGACCAATTTATTTTTTTTTCTATATTGGTGCCAATCACCATTGGAATTAAATTCCAAACAGTCCTCTTAATTGTTGAGCCACCATGGGATGCCAATTTCATGCTCTAAAATTTACATACACATTATACATGATAACCATCTTTGTCTTTCATCAACAATTTTATTTAACTTTGTAAAATACTTATTTAATACTAAACTGTAAATTCAAAATAAAAATACTTTTAAAATGTTTTGTATAAAGAAATAAAAAAACAACGAATAAATGTATGGCTCACACTTACCAGTGCATTCATAACTTTCTTATCTGATTCGATGTTTTCGTTTAATTTGAGTAAGCTTGACTCATCATTTACTGGAATTTCGAAAGGTTCATCAACCAAAATTGCTTCCCTGTTTTGTTTAAGCATTCCAATAAGTTGACTTATTAAGGCATTATTTGTATCTAACTTTTTGTTCAGGTTCTCTACTGAAATAAGAAGCTCTTTTTCAACTGCTGTAAAAATATTTAATATTAGGCTACACCATCTCAACGATTATGAAAAATTTTAAAACTATATAAAATAATAAAATCTTAATCAAACGGAATTAAGCGCTACAGATCAAATCTAAAGGAATTGTTGCCGCAATGCATTTTTCAAGTGAAAGTAAAACTAAAAAACTTGATATATTTTTTAGTTTTACATAATTTGAAGAAAGTTAAATATTTGCGTAAGTTAGATAATAGCATACACTATCGGTGACTTTTCATATATAAAAAAGTGCTACTACTCTTTCTCGCTATTACCTCGGTTGCAATCGCTGCCAAGAGTATCGTGTCAAACACTCTCCAATGAGCATTGACATCGCTATTATATAATGTGATAAAATATAAATCTTAAAATTTATAAAAAAAAACAAACAAAATGAGCATTATAAAAATAACTCTCAGTATCTCAATTATATGCATACGACTAACCAGTGCAATGAAGTGTTCCTTCGCTCACTTCGGCGAGAATCCGTCTCACAGTTGAACATCCACTTGATGTCAACGAAGATCCTAAAAACTAGAATTAAAAAAAAATAATTAATTGAACAGTTTAATTCAATTTACTAATAGGTTCTTTTCTTTTTTTTTTGTAATTCACCTCCCCAAGGCCGAGAAGGCCACTACAGAGAAGGAGACTATGGTTATAACCCTCTCTTAACTCTATAACTCTGAAACACGAACCTTGACAAACAAGGCCGCTGCGCGGAGAAACAAGTTAAGCGCAGTACTACCAGGACGCGGTGGGAATCGAACTTAAATGCATATATGTAAATATATATATATATATATATATATATATATATATATAATATATATATATATATATATATATATATATATATATACATACATAGTCAATATACTAATGAATATAGCAAATTACCACAGAATTGGGTGCAGACAACGGATTGCTTTCGCATAAAGTACTTTTATCAACTACACTTGGTAAATTTGGATGCATGTTTGTGTCCTATTTACAAAAGCCAACTATAAGATTATTTGAGAACATTATGGA